TAATGTCATCTGATGTACTAATTAGTACCCATAATGTCATCTGATGTACTAATTAGTACCCATAATGTCATCTAATGTACAAAATAGTAACCATAATGTCATCTAATGTACAAAATAGTAACCATAATGTCATCTGATGTACTAATTAGTACCCATAATGTCATCTAATGTACAAAATTTATTATTTATATTTTTTTTTATTAATGCATCGGCCATTTCCCACCAAGGCAGATGACCCAAAAAAAGAAGAAACACCTTCATCATCACTCACTCCATCACTGTCTTGCCAGAGGTTCGTCTACACTACAGTTAAGCAACTGCAACATCAACACCCCTTCTTCAGAGTACAGGTACCGTACTTCCCACCTCCTGGACTCAAGTCCAGCTTCCCAATTTTCCTGAATTCCTTCATAAATGTTACTTTGCTCACACTCCAACAGCACATCAAGTCATAAAAACCATTTGTCTCCAATCACTCCTATCTAACACTCTCACACACTCTTGCTGGAAGTCCAAGCCCCTCACAAACAAAAACCTCTTTTACCCCCTTCCCTCCAATCTTACCTAGGTCGACCCCTCTACAGATTTATACAGTCTGCAAGTCATTCTGTTTTGTTCCATTCTCTCTAAATATCCTAACCACTTCAACAGCCTTCTCCTCAGCCCTCTGGATGATAATTTTAGTAACCCAGCACCTCCTCCTAATGTCCAAGCTACAGATTCTCTACATTTTATTCACACCGCACATGGCCTTCAGACAACATAGTACCTATAATATAATTTAATGTAAAAGATAGTACAAGAGGCCCCCACTTTATGGTGTGTTGCTAATGCAGCAATTTTCAATTACAGTGGTACCCCGAGTTTCGGCCATAATTCGTTCCAGAAGGCTATTCGAATGCTGTTACCGAACGAATTTGTTCCCATAAAGAATAATGTAAATTAGATTAGTCCATTTCAGACCCTTAAAAATAGTTACAAAAGCACTTACAATAATACACTTACAAACTGTTCGAGTTAGGAGCTGTACGAAACTCAGGGTACCACTGTACATGTATATCCATCCTTCATTTATTCAGACTTCCTACAATAAATATACGTATTCACTACTGACTAAAAGCTAAGTATGAAAATAGTTTAAGACAAGTAATGTGTGTACTGGATATGCATTTTTTAGGCCTAGCTCGGTTGTTCACTTAATATATGACAGTGTAAAGATGTTATCTGGGTTTTACATGCATTTGAAGGTGAAAAAACTATGATTCACTGATTTTAACTTTACTGCAGTAGCCTGGAACCTAACCTGCTGTATAAGCAGGACCCTCCTGTACTGCAGTAGCCTGGAACCTAACCTGCTGTATAAGCAGGACCTTCCTGTACTGCAGTAGCCTAGAACCTAACCTGCTGTATAAGCAGGACCCTCCTGTACTGCAGTAGCCTAGAACCTAACCTGCTGTATAAGCAGGACCTTCCTGTACTGCAGTAGCCTAGAACCTAACCTGCTGTATAAGCAGGACCCTCCTGTACTGCAGTAGCCTAGAACCTAACCTGCTGTATAAGCAGGACCCTCCTGTAGTGCAGTAGCCTAGAACCTAACCTGCTGTATAAGCAGGACCCTCCTGTAGTGCAGTAGCCTAGAACCTAACCTGCTGTATAAGCAGGACCCTCCTGTACTGCAGTAGCCTAGAACCTAACCTGCTGTATAAGCAGGACCCTCCTGTAGTGCAGTAGCCTAGAACCTAACCTGCTGTATAAGCAGGACCCTCCTGTACTGCAGTAGCCTAGAACCTAACCTGCTGTATAAGCAGGACCCTCCTGTACTGCAGTAGCCTAGAACCTAACCTGCTGTATAAGCAGGACCCTCCTGTACTGCAGTAGCCTAGAACCTAACCTGCTGTATAAGCAGGACCCTCCTGTACTGCAGTAGCCTAGAACCTAACCTGCTGTATAAGCAGGACCCTGCTGTATAAGCAGGACCCTGCTGTATAAGTAGGGTCCTGTATAAGTAGGGCCCTCTTGTATAAGTAAGGCCCTCATGTATAAGTAGGGCCCTCCTGTATAAGTAGAGCCCTGTATAAGTAAGGCCCTCCTGTATAAATAGGGCCCTCCTGTATAAGTAGGGCCCTCCTGTATAAGTAGGACTCTCCTGAATAAGTAGGGCCCTCCTGTATAAGTAGGACTCTCCTGAATAAGTAGGGCCCTCCTGTATAAGTAGGACTCTCCTGAATAAGTAGGGCCCTCCTGTATAAGTAGGACTCTCCTGAATAAGTAGGGCCCTCCTGTATAAGTAGGACTCTCCTGAATAAGTAGGGCCCTCCTGTATAAGTAGGGCCCTCCTGTATAAGTAGGGCCCTCCTGTATAAGTAGGGCCCTCCTGTATAAGTAGGGCCCTCCTGATAATCTGTATAAGTAGGGCCCTCCTGTATAAGTAGGGCCCTCCTGTATAAGTAGGGCCCTCCTGTATATTTAAATATACTAGACTATAATCCAACTAATTATATCTTATAATCATGTACAATGATATTCCATTGTAAGTTTATTCAGTTTAACACAAATACAATTACAATGGTACCCCAAGTTTCGAACTGCTCCCAACTCGACCAGTTATGTAAGTGTATTATTGTAAGTGCTTTTCTAAGTGTATTTTTGGGGGTCTGAAACAGATTAATCTAATTTACATTATTTCTTATGGGAACAAATTCGTTTAGTATCAGTACTTGAACAGCCTTCTGGAACGAAGAAAGTTCGAAACTCAGGGTACCACTGTACATGGGCTTAAGCTTACCCAAAATGCTGTGCACAACTATGGGCTTTGTGCAAGCACAACCAAGTGTCACCATCTCTGTACAAACATTGTATCATGTGGAAATAAATCTTTGGTTTTCACGCATATATTGAACAGCGTCTCTAGCACCACATCTATCCCAACTTTTTCATTCTGCCCTGTACCTCGTGCACTCTCTTCCATATTTACCTCAAAATTCTCTTTATTTCTGTATACAGTTAGGCCTCCCTGCCTCCTGCATTAAGTCACAACCTTCCCTTCACCACTAGCATTTAACAGCTCGTCAAGTTATCTTCTCCATCTTCCCCATCTATCATCTGTTCTGTTTTCTTCTTATCTATCAAGTCACTTTGACATTTTCTGGGTTATCCAGGAGGGTAATTTACACTTGTTAAATTATGTATGATAATGTTGTGTATCTTTATACTGCAAGGCTCCAGGCAGACATTGCAGACACTGCAAGGCTCCAGGCAGACATTGCAGACACTGCAAGGCTCCAGGCAGACATTGCAGACACTGCAAGGCTCCAGGCGGACATCAACCAAATCTTTCAGTGGGTTGCAGAAAACAATATGAAGTTCAACGATGAGAAATTTCAATTACTCAGATATGGTAAACACGAGGAAATTAAATCTTCATCAGAGTACAAAACAAATTCTGGCCACAAAATAGAGCGAAACACCAATGTCAAAGACCTGGGAGTGATCATGTCGGAGGATCTCACCTTCAAGGACCATAACATTGTATCAATCACATCTGCTAGAAAAATGACAGGATGGATAATGAGAACCTTCAAAACTAGGGAGGCCAAGCCCATGATGACACTCTTCAGGTCACTTGTTCTATCTAGGCTGGAATATTGCTGCACACTAACAGCACCTTTCAAGGCAGGTAAAATTGCTGACCTAGAAAATGTACAGAGAACCTTCACGGCGCACATAACGGAGATAAAACACCTCAATTACTGGGAGCGCTTGAGGTTCCTAAACCTGTATTCCCTGGAATGCAGGCGGGAGAGATACATGATTATATACACCTGGAAAATCCTAGAGGGACTAGTACCGAACTTGCACACGAAAATCACTCGCTACGAAAGCAAAAGACTTGGCAGACAATGCACCATCCCCCCAATGAAAAGCAGGGGTGTCACTAGCACGTTAAGAGACCATACAATAAGTGTCAGGGGCCCGAGACTGTTCAACTGCCTCCCAGCATACATAAGGGGGATTACCAACAGACCCCTGGCAGTCTTCAAGCTGGCACTGGACAAGCACCTAAAGTCGGTTCCTGACCAGCCGGGCTGTGGCTCGTACGTTGGTTTGCGTGCAGCCAGCAGCAACAGCCTGGTTGATCAGGCTCTGATCCACCAGGAGGCCTGGTCACAGACCGGGCCACGGGGGCGTTGACCCCTGGAACTCTCTCCAGGTAAACTCCAGGTATATACTTCTAAACTGTTGTATTCTGAGCACCTCTGCAAAAACAGTGATTATGTGTGAGTGTGGTGAAAGTGTTGAATGATGATGAAAGTATTTTCTTTTTGGGGATTTTCTTTCTTTTTGGGTCACCCTGCCTCGGTGGGTCACCCTGCCTCGGTGAGAGATGGCCGACTTGTTAAAACAAAAAAAAAAATTGTACTTATGTGTACCTGTACCAAAATAAACTTACTGAATCTGCTCTCCAGGCTTCTGTACCTTAATAATCTTTTATGATTATTATTACTATTGTTGAAAACATTTCTAGGAATAATTGATTATTTATGTTTGTATATCAAATTACTAAGTGTACCACTGTGTGTACATGTACTCGTGTGTGTGTGTGTACATGTACTCACATGTATATGCACTTGTGTGTGTACTCGTGTATACACATAATGTGGGATACTTCTCCCAAGACAGATATTAAATGAATGATGGTAAATGATTATTTTTCTGGGGGAGGGGGGGGGATAAGTTCAACCTACCTTGGTGGGCAATGGCTGGGGTGTAAAAAAAAAATAATAGAAATGAAAGAATGAGACTTTTTAGATTGTACATAAATTTGGCAGTCCAGTCATATCAAATAGATGTGTTGTATTGTAGTACTTTTGTCTGATAGATGTATTATACATGTATTGTAGTTCTATCTAATAGACACGTTGTTTTCCAGGTAACATTTTATCTGATAGATGTGTTATACATGTATTGTAGTTCTATCTAATAGACACATTGTTTTCCAGGTAACTATGGAGTGATATCTCGATGTGCTCAATGTCCTCATTGTTTGAAGACTGTGTCAAAGACTAAAATGAGGATCCACCTTCGAATCCACACGGGCGAAAAGCCATATGTTTGCGACATATGCCAGAAGGGATTTACCCGCTCGGATAAGCTCTGTTATCACCGGAGAATCCACACTGGGGAGAAGCCTTATGTCTGTTTCTGCGGCAAGAGGTTCACCCGTAGTGACCACCTGAAAATACATGCAGCGACCCACGATGTTGATTCAGACGTGCGAGATGCACTGCTGAAGGAGTGTAGGAAGAATGATTATATTCAGAGAGGCTTACCCATTCCAATAGCAAGTCCCACAGTCTACACATGCACTCTTTGTAACCAACAATTTACCCAGAATCTGAAGTATCAGCGTCATCTGAAACTCCACAGTAGCAAAACATCATACAGATGTTTTTGTGGTGCCCAGTACACCCAGTCGGGGAGACTGCGCTTACACCAGATAGAAAAACATGGTTTTCAGGAAAATGCCTCAGCTTTCCTTGAATCTAGTCACGCTATTTATACTGCCATTCCAGAATCTGTGTTAAAAGGGGTCACAGATCCATTGGGAAAGTCTCTGCTTGGAAGAAAGTGTATTAGAAAAAAGATATCAGAACCAGACTCCAGGCAGGTTACCACTGAGGTGGTGAAAGATGCCGTGGTGGAGGAGACTGTGGCACAGCCAGTGGTCACAAGCACAGCTGTGATGGATGATGTTAAGCAGCCGGCAGTCAAGAGGAAGTCAACACAGCCGAGAGTCAAGAAAAAGATGAAGCCACTGGGAATCTTGAGCGCAGACATGATGGCTGACATCAAGCAGCCGGCAGTCAAGAGGAAGTCAACACAGCTGGCAGTCAAGAGGAAGTCAACACAGCCGAGAGTCAAGAAAAAGATGAAGCCACTGGGAATCTTGAGCACAGACATGATGGATGACATCAAGCAGCCGGCAGCCATGACCACAGTCATGATAAATAATGTCAAGCAGCCGGCAGTCAAGAGGAAGTCAACACAGCCGAGAGTCAAGAAAAAGATGAAGCCACTGGGAATCTTGAGCACAGACATGATGGATGACATCAAGCAGCCGGCAGTCAAGAGGAAGTCAACACAGCCGACAGTCAAGGAAACGGTAAAGCAGGCAGAAGTCATGAACACAGTCGTGATGGATGGCAAACAGCAGCCGGCGGTCAAGAAAAAGCCAGTAGAGCCTGCAGTCAAGAGCATGGTGGTGTTGGAGAACATTTCACAGCCAACCACCAGTACCATAATGGAAGGGAAGAGTGTAAAGCAGCCAGACCTCATGAACATGACAGTGATGGGAGGTATAAAACAGCCATCAGCCAAGAGAAAGTTAAAACAGCCATCAGCCAAGAGAAAGCTGAAACAGCCATCAGCCAAGAGAAAACTAAAACAACCGGCAGTCGAGAGTTCGGTGGTGGCAGGGAATGTGACACAACCAGCTATCAATAGTTTTGATGTAATGGATAACACCATAAAACAATTGTTTGCCGACAGAATGGTGGTCTTGGCAAACGTAAAACAGCCGCCACTCAGTAGAGAGCAGAAACTGCCAATATTTGAGAACACATTAATGGGAAAAATAATGCAGCTGCTGTCTGTCAAGCATACGACAGCACAGGAAGACATGCAGCATCAACAGCAGCTGGCTGCCATTGATGCTAAAGTAGAGAGCACGAGTCAACTGGGTGTCAAGAACTCAGTAGTGATGGCAAACAAGAAGCAAATATCAGTCAAGAGGAGGTTGAAGCATTTGACAGTGAAAAGAAATGCCAAACAATTGACAGTGGAGGACATGCAGGAACCAGCCATCAACACAATGGCAGACAGCATGCAGGAACCAGCCATCAACACACTGGTAGACAGTATGCAGAAACCAGCCATCAACACAGTGGCAGACAGCATGCAGGAACCAGCCATCTACACAGTGGTAGACAGTATGCAGAAACCAGCCATCAGCACAGTGGCAGACAACATGCAGGAACCAGCCATCAACACAGTGGCAGACAGCATGCAGGAACCAGCCAACAACACAGTGGCAGACAGCATGCAGGAACAAGTCAACATCAACACAGTGGAAGACAGCATGCAGGAACCAGCCATCAACACACTGGTAGACAGTATGCAGAAACCAGCCATCAGCACAGTGGCAGACAACATGCAGGAACCAGGCATCAACACAGTGGTAGACACCATGCAGGAACCTGCCATCACCACATTGGTAGAGAGCATACAGGAACCAGCCATCACCACAGTGGTAGACAGCATGCAGGAACTGGCCATCGACACAGTAATAGACAGAATGCAAAAACTAGCCATCAACACAATGGTAGACATCATGCAGGAACCAGCCATCAACACAGTAGTAGACAGCACGCAGGAATCAGCCATCAACACAATGGTGATAGGAAGCACTAAACAGCCATCAGCAAAGGGAAAATTGAAACGGCCGGCTGTTAAGACAACAGTGGTGACAGAACACATTAAACAGCCAGCTGTCAAGGTCAATCTAACTCAGTTAACAATGGACTGTAGAGTAGTTTTAGAGAACCTGAATTTATCAACGATCAGGTCTATAGTGAATCGGCCAGCTGTCAAGACCAAAGTGAATCAGCCAGCTGCCAAAACCAAAGTTAATCAGTTGACTATCAAGACCAAAGTTAATCAGCCAACTGTCAAAACCAAAGTGAATCGACCAGCTGTCAAGACCAAAGTGAATCATCTGGCTGTCAAGACCAAAGTGAATCAGCCAGCTGTCAAAACCAAAGTGAATCGACTGACTCTCAAGACCAAAGTGAATCATCTGGCTGTCAAGACCAAAGTGAATCAACCAGCTGTCCAGACCAAAGTGAATCAGGAGGCCATCGAGTCTATAGTGAATCGACCAGTTGTCAAGACTGAACAAAATCAGCCAGCTGTCGAGGCCACTGTAAATCAACTGGCCATCAAAACGAAAATGAATTGGCAGACCGTTAAGGCTAGTGGAAATCTGCCGGCTGTCAAGACCAGTGTGAGTCAACCATTCCTTGAGACCACTGTGAATCGACTGGAAGTTGAGACCCAAGTGAATCAGCCAGCCATTGAAACCAAAATCATTCAGGTAGCCATCAAGACCAAGGGGAATCAACCAACTGTCAGAACCAAAGTATCTCAACCAACAGTCAAGACCAAAGTGACTCGACCGACAGTCAAGACCACAGTGACTCGACCGACAGTCAAGGCTACAGTGACTCGACCAACAGTCAAGACTGCAGTGACAAGACCGACAGTCAAGACTGCAGTGACTCGACCGGCAGTCAAGACTGCAGTGACTCGACCGGCAGTCAAGACTGCAGTGACTCGACCGGCAGTCAAGATTGCAGTGACTCGGCCGATGGTCAAGACTGCAGTGACTCGACCAGCAGTCAAGACTGCAGTGACTCGACCGACAGTCAAGACTGCAGTGATTCAACCAACAGTCAAGACTGAAGTGACTCGACCGACAGTCAAGACTGAAGTGAGTCGACCAATGGTCAAGTGCATGGTAGTTCTGGAGAACATAGAGCAGCAGTTGGCACTTGACAGCACAGTCAGGGTAGACAGCATCAAGCAGGTGGCTGTCAAGAGAAAGTTGAAGCAGCCAGTCATCAATGGCATGGTAGCAGAGAACATGCAGCAGCTGTCAGTCAACAGTATGGTGACAGAGAACATGACACAGCCATCTATCAGCAGCATGGGAAACAAAATCAAGATAATGTCAGTCGACAGCATAGCAGTGGAGAATATGAAGCAGCTGTCAGTAAAGAGTAATGTGGCAGCCAAACAATCAAAGCCTCGGCGGAAGCTCATCAGAGTGAATGGAATGTATGCGTGTGAATATTGCTCGAAGCTATTCAAGCGTTCTTACAAACTCAGTATTCATAGGAGGATTCATACTGGAGAAAAACCATATGTGTGTGATTCCTGTGGCAAAGCATTCACTCGCAAAGACAACATGGTGAAACACAGGCGCCTCCACCTGCAACGCAGAAAGAAATCCTACCTGAATCAATCCAACAGCAACAGTGCAGTTGTTGAGGATAATTTATTTCAGGAAGTCAAAGTAGAGGAGGAAGAGATTGATGAAGGGAATTACGATACCAAAATATTGCCAGTGCATGAGGAGGAAAAATTGTATGCCTGTAATATATGTGGTCAGGCCTTTAATCAAATTTATCACCTGCAGGCTCATGTGGAAATTCACTGTGAGAGAACATATTTCGAGTGCTGTTTGTGCAATAAACAGTTTAAAGTTAGAGTGAATTATGAAATGCATCTCTCGAGTCACGGCATAGAGTTGTGTGGCACAGATGACAGTATGAAGGATACCAATCTGGTTAAGGTTCAGACACAAAACATAGAGTGCACAATATGTGGCAAGTGGTTTGTATCGCATAGAAGCCTTGGTAATCACATGCGGTCACATGCTGGCCAACGACCGTATAATTGCCAAGAGTGTGATGGTGTCTTCATGTTCAAGATGGAAATGATTGAACACAGGAAGTCCCATGTTAAGGAAAAACCATTTAGGTGCCAGCTCTGCCCTAAAACGTTTGCTCGTAGACGCTCGCTTGCCTCTCACATAAAAAAACACCAACTAAACACTTCTACCATAGTGGAGCACCCCTTGTCCAGTCTGGCCACATGACCAGTGCTAACAAGTCAGACAACAGAATCGTCTCTTTTTTGGTAGTATTATTTGTAATTATCAGGTTGTAGTATTCCATAAGGGGCAAGTTACAAGTTGATTGTGAAGAGTTAAGCTCAGTTTGCTCAACCAAGATTGGGTAGTGGATAATGGTGATTGTGGTAATCAAAGATGAGACTCAGATGGTGATTGTGGTAATCAGAGATGAGACTAATGGTGATTGAGGTGTTCAGAGGTGAGGCTTCTCCTGTGACCACAACAATAACGAATAATTGTGTAGTGCAGAGGATTGTATCGTGTTCCCAGGGTCTAAATTGGCATTTTTAATGAATATTTTTTCTAGTATTGTGATTAGCCTAGTACATGTACAGAGCTAGATACTTTTTCCTAGTACATGTACAAAGTTAGATTCTTGATCCTAGTACATGTACAGAGCTAGATATTTTATCCTAGTACATGTACAGAGCTAGATATTTTATCCTAGTACATGTACAGAGCTAGATATTTTATCCTAGTACATGTACAAAGTGAGATACTTGATCCTGATACATTTACAGAGCTAGATACTTTTTCCTAGTACATGTACAAAGTTGTTAGGTAAGACACATATGCAACAGTTAGGTATCTTTATTATGAAACGTTTCGCCTACGCAGTAGGCTTCTTCAGTCAAGTACAGAAAAGTTGATAGAAGCAGAAGATACTTGAAGACGATGTAATCAGTCCATCACCCTTAAAGTTTGAGGTGGTCAGTCCCTCAGTCTGGAGAAGAGCATTGTTCCATAGTATGGAACAATGCTCTTCTCCAGACTGAGGGACTGACCACTTTAAGGGTGATGGACTGATTACATCGTCTTCAAGTATCTTCTGCTTCTATCAACTTTTCTGTACTTGACTGAAGAAGCCTACTGTGTAGGCGAAACGTTTCATAATAAAGATACCTAACTGTTGCATATGTGTCTTACCTAACAACCTGTCGGTATTTTATACCATTTTAATGTTCATGTACAAAGTTAGATACTTCATCCTAGTACAAAGTGAGATACTTGATCCTGATACATTTACAAAGTTAGATACTTGATCCTAGTACATGTACAAAGTTAGATACTTGATCCTAGTACATGTACAAAGTTAGATACTTGATTCTAGTACATGTACAAAGTTAGATACTCTATACTACCTATAGTCAAGATAAAGTTTATCTTGATTATAGGTTACATTTTTAAACAACCTGTGGCTGACATAGTACATATTGGCTCTTCAAGGGATGCACCTTGATGCTGGTGAAGGGTTCTTGATCCAAGGAATTGCAGTTATCCTCCTCAGACTACAGGTTACAGGTGTCTGGCTTTGTACCTGACAGCAGTACTGGGTTACAGCTGTTCCTGGCTTTGTACATGATAGCAGTACTGGGTTACAGCTGTTCCTAGCTTTGTACATGATAGCAGTACTGGGTTACAGCTGTTCCTGGCTTTGTACATGACAGCAGTACTGGGTTACAGCTGTTCCTGGCTTTGTACATGATAGCAGTACTGGGTTACAGCTGTTCCTGGCTTTGTACATGATAGCAGTACTGGGTTACAGCTGTTCCTAGCTTTGTACATGATAGCAGTACTGGGTTACAGCTGTTCCTGGCTTTGTACATGATAGCAGTACTGGGTTGCAGCTGTTCCTGGTTTTGTACATGATAGCAGTACTGGGTTACAGCTGTTCCTAGCTTTGTACATGATAGCAGTACTGGGTTACAGCTGTTCCTGGCTTTGTACATGACAGCAGTACTGGGTTACAGCTGTTCCTGGCTTTGTACATGATAGCAGTACTGGGTTACAGCTGTTCCTAGCTTTGTACATGATAGCAGTACTGGGTTACAGCTGTTCCTGGCTTTGTACATGACAGCAGTACTGGGTTACAGCTGTTCCTGGCTTTGTACATGATAGCAGTACTGGGTTACAGCTGTTCCTAGCTTTGTACATGATAGCAGTACTGGGTTACAGCTGTTCCTGGCTTTGTACATGATAGCAGTACTGGGTTGCAGCTGTTCCTGGTTTTGTACATGATAGCAGTACTGGGTTACAGCTGTTCCTAGCTTTGTACATGATAGCAGTACTGGGTTACAGCTGTTCCTGGCTTTGTACATGACAGCAGTACTGGGTTACAGCTGTTCCTGGCTTTGTACATGACAGCAGTACTGGGTTACAGCTGTTCCTGGCTTTGTACATGAAGCAGTACTGGGTTACAGCTGTTCCTGGCTTTGTACATGATAGCAGTACTGGGTTACAGCTGTTCCTGGCTTTGTACATGACAGCAGTACTGGGTTACAGCTGTTCCTGGCTTTGTACATGATAGCAGTACTGGGTTACAGCTGTTCCTGGCTTTGTACATGATAACAGTACTGGGTTACAGCTGTTCCTAGCTTTGTACATGATAGCAGTACTGGGTTACAGCTGTTCCTGGCTTTGTACATGATAGCAGTACTGGGTTGCAGCTGTTCCTGGTTTTGTACATGACAGCAGTACTGGGTTGCAGCTGTTCCTGGCTTTGTACATGACAGCAGTACTGGGTTGCAGCTGTTCCTGGCTTTGTACATGACAGCAGTACTGGGTTACAGCTGTTCCTGGCTTTGTACATGACAGCAGTACTGGGTTACAGCTGTTCCTGGTTTTGTACAGTAATATATTCCGGGTTCATGTCAGTCGTCATTACCTATTTGTAATTGTTTTTATAACCATGGGAACAGAGCTTTCCTCATGGTGTCTTGCTGTGAATAATATGTTCACCTATTTTTTAAATTTCCAATGGATGTAGCACTTACTAGCTCATATTTCATATCATTTTATTGTTCTGTTGATTTTTACAAAAGAAATTTTTTTAGCATTCTCTTTGGCTCCACTTTTAATTTTATATATAACTGAGGCCTCTTGTTATCCCTGTTACATGTCACCGTTTACCTTCTACCACTTTAACCTCTTTTGTTACTCATTATTCATCCAACTTTTGAGATTTTTTCACATGTAAGGTGTGTCTATTTTACAAAAGCATATTAAATGATACAGGAAAAATCTGGGAAGAGCTTCAGAGCTTCAGGAGCCGATCTCTCAGTTTTCTCCTGCACAGAGTATTTACCTCCGATGATGTGAACTTCTCTGGGTTATTGGATTTCGTATCTTAGGCTGCATTTTATTTTACAGTCTGTCCTCACCCTGATGTTTTGTAGAGTGAAAGTGTACTTGTAATGTGGATTGATATTCCATATTCCAAACTTCATTCCATTGTATCACAGTTAGTATTTATTTAGGTAAGTAGAATTCAGTCTTCTCTTTGTACTTGTCTCCTCAACCTATAATTTCAAACTTTCTTTAGATTTGTATTGCCATCATTTTCTCTGGGGTGGTCCCATTGTGACGCTTACAGTAACCTGTTGGAGTATTTTCTTATTTGTTTACCTTTATGTATCCTACATACTGGGATTTTAACTCATGTATAACCTCAAACTCGTACTTCCTCACACATTAATCTCTCAGTTGGCGCAACTTTTGTAGCGCTGGACTTTAATTGGGCAGTGGTAAATTATCCCACTTCCATATTGTTCTTAATTCCCAGTCTTACACACATCCTTATTGTCATTCCTGGTGGCAGTTTGAAGGAAAATATTGACTCTTTTTACACATTACACATCTCCCTCCAGCACAGATGTCTTTTAAATGGATTAGTTTTAGTATTTATTTGTTGTAGCTGCTTGAGTTGTTCAGGTATACACAAATACAGTTACATAGATTATCATACATAGCAGCATATGTGTAAAGAATCTAGGATAACCTAGGATAAATGTAAACTCTGGTGGACACCAGATTATGCTTGGGTTATCCAGCTAAGTAGTATAATGCAATTATAATGCTGCTTGCTGGTTAGACTTGAAACAAGCAAGAACACGTACACGACATGTCAGATGAACAGCCAAATATGCTTGTTGGCTTGTTTGAATTTCAGTTTTAACCCTTTAACTGTCTAAACGTTGATCTTCGTTTTCACTGCTAGTGCTCCGAAAATTTTGAAAAAAGAAATTATTTTATCTTTTTAAAACAAATAGAGCAATTTTCCATATGTAATAAGACCAAAATAAATTTTTAGCGCCGATACTTATTGAGTTATAAGGTGGCAAATTTGGGACTGGATGCTCACCTGATGGCAACATGAAGTCCTGCCACTTGCAGAAATGTTGCTAAGACTGATTCTATACTGACTAGGCATTTCAGGCCTATCATGCCAAATTTGGAGGCAGGAAAAATAAAATGTCAGCCCACATTAGGTGCACTACCAGTAAGTAAGTTTATTCAGGTATACACAGATACAGTTACATAGAATTATCATACATAGCAGCATATGTGTAGAGAACCTGGGATAACCCGAAAAAGTCAGACAGAGCGACTTATTTCCATTGGGGTCCTTTTACCTTATTATTATAATATAAATGTTATAATATTTTCTTATTATGCTATAATGAAGATAACATCTTATTTTTTTTTTTTTTTTTATTATCACACTGGCCGATTCCCACCAAGGCAGGGTGGCCCGAAAAAGAAAAACTTATTATCATACTAAAAAGACTATCTACTACACGAGGGTCATTAAGACTATCTACAATACGAGGGTCATTACTAGGAATAAGGTAAAATTTACACGTATGTTAGCTAAAAAATAGAAAATCATTCCCCTCCCTTTCTGTAGCTACATTCATCAGACACCTTTTGGCAGTCTTCTTGAACTGGTTCATGCTATGACTGGCTTTGACATGTGCGGGCAGTCTGTTCCATTCCTTTATTGCTGTACAATAAAAGGTGTTTGACGCCTGGCCACTGACTGTGGGTACTACAAAGTTGTGCTCTCTCCCCCTAGTACTATGATTGCTTTGGTTCCCAACCTTGACAAAATTGACAGCAAGATATTCTGGACACTGTGAGCAATTTTATAAACATGATTTAGCTTCAGTTGTTTTACTCTGTCTTCAACATTCAGCATATCCAACTGCTGTAATTCATCCTGGCCTACATGTTCTCTTGGACCCAGGTCCAGGATGAATCTTACAATTTTGTTCTGGGTGATTTGCAGTCTATCTTTCAGTTTTTTTGTCAAGGCAGAGTACCATGAAAAGCAAGCATAATCCATATGGCATTGTATAAGGGCTAGACATAGGGTCCTGCGAGCCTCAGTAGGTAGACACTGTGCTTGTCTATACAGGAACTTCAGTCTGGCATTCGCTTTCTTTACTACACTGTTCCCTATCAATTCTCCTGACATGCACGGGTCAATGTTTAGACAGTTAAAGGGTTAAAAGTCACTAGTACAAGTGCAGTATGGGAAATACTGGCTGAATCAGGTAAATATTCACCTGATTCAGCTTCGATTCTTGGCATTACTGGAGCAAAATTAACAGATCCAGTTGAAGTTGCAAACACAGTAGGATATCACCTTGCCTGGGTCTCCTGTGAGTCGCTGTTGTCCTCTGACTTTCTTCTTCAGCCTAAATCCCTACAGGAGTCTACTGATTGAGACTTACCTCTTCCATATATGTTCTGTTTACCACTCTTGAACTTGCATTAATTATTGTCAAAATGTCAGCTGGCCTGATGATGCATATGTTCTCATGCTACACTATAGGTCTGTGAGGTCAGTTCC